TTCAATAAAATATATCTGCCGCCGTGCACAGCACACGACCCCTGCGTATATATTTTATTGAAACGCTTCAAGTGCCTGTGGTGGCTAGTATATATACTATATGCCCGGCAGCCGGCATATATATCTGATGGCTGCCGGGCACGGTCTTCGATTACCTACCTAAATGCTCGGCAGTTTTTAATTTTCAGCGTTATCTCAAGTAAACAAGGTTAGGGTTAGGGTTAGGAACTGCCGGGCATTTAGGAAATCGAAGACTGTGCCCGGCTGCCGGGCATATAGTATATATACTAGCCACCACAGGCACTTGAAGCGTTTCAATAAAATATATACGCAGGGGTCGTGTGCTGTGCACGGCGGCAGATATATTTTATTGAAACGCTTCAAGTGCCTGTGCTAGCCACAGCGTTTATTGAAAGTTGAATAGCTCCAAGAAACAGTATTGCTAGGGTTAGAATACCCTAATGTATAGACAATCCGTCGCACAGCCTGGTCGGGCTACAAGTTGAAGTGCCTGTGATACTGATACTGATACTGATAGGCACCAAGGCAGATATGCATTACGCAGAGATAGAATTAGAATATATATCTAAGGTGTAGCCAAGGTCCAGACGAAAGAGCGGACTGAGTACGGAAATAATCATCTAACATTGTTCAACCAAAAGAGGATTGCAGCCAAAATATGGAACTAAACTCGAATGTTTACCAAATCAAATCGCGCCAAACCACAGCAACACGCCAAAATCAATCACAACATTATGCCTGCCCGACATAAACACCCGATCGAAAATTTTAATTACAGCAAACGTAATAAAGTATTTCTAAAGAGAATACTACTATAAAACAAAACACACCTAGTATAATTAATTTTTGTAGTAATTTAAAGTATAAAAATCTCAATTACATGCAATTTTGTTCCAAGCTGCCACGGAGTTTGGTGCTGCGCACTCAGATTTAGCGATTACTTGAGTCTAAACTTGCATGGAATCATGGCGGGTGTTTTGTTTGAGGATATATTTGACGTGAAAGATATTGATCCCGAGGGCAAGAAATTCGATAGAGGTAGTTAATATCTACGTTATATACTATAGAAAATGCACTAGCTTTGCCAAGATTAATAAATCGACTAGATTTTGCATAAATAATAACACAAATGTGAATATCCTTCCGCCGGTGTCCAAATAATTATGCCAGAAGCCACGTGATTCCAAACCCATGGCCACAGGTCCCTTGGCTTGCGCAATACCGTTGGCCGGTTTCCAAGAATTGTGGCGATGTTGTTGTTTTGCAACTTTCACTTGTGCTGCGCTCTCGTTACGCAATGCGGTCATGGCGTTTAGCCATTACCAACGTGCCGTACGCCTCTGTGGCGATTCAGAATTTTAGCTGGCGTTGCTGTGTGCGCATTTCGTCTGCTGTGGTGAGAATAACTAGGTGATACGGGATGAAGCCGCGGGAGAAGGTAAGAACAGAATGATTGGCGCTATGTCGATGGCCGCGTGTGGCACGTGATCACATGTTGTTTACAAGTGCCAGATGAAGATCCGCACAGCGACCGACGCTGTCGACGAGTCTTCAGAGCTTATTGCGTTGCACACATAATTACATGTGAAAGTTACGTTGCTGCGAGGATCCGGAGATGTTGTACTTGTAGGCCATCGTAATTAGTTTCTACAGGTGTTGCAGAGCTTGACGTTTTTCCGTAGAGATGTGGTGCGAATCATCGCAGAGCCGTTCTGAGCTCGCAGCGTTTTTATAAATAGATGTAATACTAATAATAATATGTAATCAGGTAGGCTGCAGCATCTTCCGAATAACTCGGCGAAGATAATGGTACAAGTAGCGTTTACACACCCATGTCGTGAGTTTGGTTAGGGTTAGGTTTAGCGTTAGGGTTTTTAAACCTGGTGTTGTCAAATAGGAATGGGCCAAGATAATGAAATGACGGTATGAAACCATTTGTCAGCTGGAATCACCGTTTGTCGTAACGGTTGTGCACGTTATATCTTGGAATATCAATATTCAGGTGCATGGTATGATTCCTTGCTTCTATATAGGTGCAATTACAATCAAACTTGGTCAAAATATGACACACAACTGTAACCGATGCGGCGCGTCTTAATAATATAGTGTAGCGATGCATATAGTACTACTAGTAGCTTGACAGCTGGTTCGAATGTGATTTGCATGTGATACTGGTAGCTTTCTTGTTGTCAGCACTTGTAAGCTAAATTTGGTGCAATAGATGTCTAACTCTATTTTGAACCGTTGCACTGGAGCTTGTCGAGGTCTGCTATGTGATGAGGGTTCGTTTATCGGCATCGTTAACCCTGACCATAATCTAGCTGATGTTATGATTGGTGTATTGCTTGGTGTGATGATGACGGTTGTAGTAGTTGTTGTAGTGGTGACGATGACGATGACGATGACGATGACGATGACGATTGTTGTAGTATAGTTGTAGTAGTAGTATGGTGGCATTGATAGTGACCATGATGATGATGATGTTATTGTTGGTGATGGTGATGAGGATGAACTTATTGTTGGTGATGGTGATGAGGATGAACTTATTGTTGGTGATGGTGATGATAACGATGTTATTGTTGGTGATGGTGATGATGATGTTATTGTTGGTGATGGTGATGATAATGATAATGATGTTATTGTTGGTGATGGTGATGAGGATGATGTTATTGTTGGTGATGGTGATGAGGATGATGTTTATGTACTGAGGTCCCAAGGCAGACTTGATCCTAGGTAGCATGTGTGTGTGTGCATTGTGAAAATATATAATATAGTAATTCTGTATACATGTGCAGGGTTCTCCAACCTTTTTCATTATAGCATGGCGTGTGCTGCCTTTACGGTCCTATGGTTGCAAATCGCCGAAGGCGGTTTGCGTGCTAGGGGGGGTCCGGGGGCTATGATATTTAGCATGGCGGCTATGATATTTAGAGTGGCGGGTGCATTTTAGGATGGCGGGGCTCGACGATAGCCGGGCGGGCTGCCAGGCTATATTAACGTGCCCTTGGAGAACCCTGATGTGGAAAGTTCACTTGGAGCAGGTTGTCCATGGTTACAGTTACTAGAACATATGGTAGATTTATGGCTTCATCGAGCTGTTTAGTATATGAATGCAAACTATTTGGTGGTATGTAAAATATTACTGTGAAAGTAGTCTGATGTCGAAAGTCGTAGTGAAAGTCGTCTGTCCTCCATGCATTAATTTACAGAACTCATTTAAAAATATGTGCAGTATTAGTACTATTGCTATTTACATAATACAGCTAGGTATAAACTATTTATAACAGGCTGTAATAGTTCCCTGCATTACAGCAAGTAATGCATCTGAGGGAAAACGTTCATGAATAAGGCGAAAGTCCGTGACATGAATCTAATTATCTCACTGACTTTCATTATTTAATTGGAGATGGGCTCCTATAGAAAATCTTCGAATTTTTTTATATTTTTTTAGTCAATGTTTTTTGAATGCATATGATGTATGATAGATAGATAGATAGATAGATAGATAGATTAGGATAGAATAGCGTATGATAGATAGAATAGGTTTATTGCAAACTAGTGATACAACGTTTACAATTAAAATATTTTGCAACAGATATCATCAGGGAGTATAAAACTGAAATCGTTGATATTTACAATCCGGTGTAATAATTCACCGTAGCAGCTGAGTCATGCATTGAGAACTGCCTTTGATGTAATACGGGGTGCAGGGGGTTGATCAACCAAGAACCACATACATTACACAAAGAGTGGCACATCGTGGGTCAAACTGATGTAATGTGAATTGGCAGTGCTACTAGCCGTATCAAAGATCGACCTCCCCTGTGTTAGTAATTTGCCTGCTTATTTCTTTTTCAGACTAAATTTCATATCAGCAATTGAACGCACCGTTTAGTGTACAATAAATCTGCTCGCAGTCTTTTGAAATGCTGTGTTAGGAATTGTATCACGGTATCATAGTCAATGAATGTCGAAGGACTTGTAGGGTATAAGGAATTTAATAATTGGGAGTTTGCTGGGGCGGAAGAGCAAGGGGCAGTATACCAGGTGGCTTACTTCTCTGTCACTATCATTGTTCAGAGTTGGGAATGTTGGTGGGGGGGGGGAGTCTGACCTTCTGTTAATAATAGTGTCTAATAGTTGCCTGCTGTGTTACGGCAGATTTTCTATTGTATGATTCACCGTAGACAGCAGCTGCAAGTCAGTGCAATCGAGAACTGCTTGATGTTGTTAATACTGGCTGGGCAGAGGAGTTGATTCCAGGAACAACACACTACTTTACAAAGGTGGCACATGTTGGGTAGAAACTGTGTAATGTGACTATTGTACTTACCTACGACCCTTCCCACTGTGTTAGTATTTGCGCTTATTTTTGTATCCCCCGCGGCGGGGATATATGGTTTCAATGTCTCCCGACGGCCGGCCGGCGCCGCAGAGAATTTCCCTTCCGCTGCTACTAACATCGACCCTAATTGACCTTAGCGTTGACCAAACTTGGATGACTTACACATTTGGAGAGAAGGTGTGGCAAGCACAAAACAGGTCACTGCGACCTTTATTTGACTACTTGACACTTGATCATATTTCCTTTCTCTCTCTACTCGGGCCCTACATGACTAGCGCTACCCAAACTTAGTATACTTACACTTTGGGGAGAAGTGAGACAGCGCTTACCAAAACCAAGGTCACTGCGACCTGTGTATTTTGACCTTTACTTTTGACTTGATCATATTTCCCGTTCCGCTCTCTAACTCGACGCCTAGATTGACCTAGTGCTCACAAAACCAGGGTCACTACGCACCTTTATTTGACTTTACTTGACCTTGATCATATAAGGTCTTCGCTGCTATAACTCTGGCCTTAGCACTACCACTTGGATATACTGTACACATCTTTGGGAGAATGGGTGTGGTTACCGAATAAACAAGGTCCACGTGCAACCTCTTATTTGACATTCGTCCTTTGACCTTAGATGATATATTTCTTTTCCGCTTCTATACTGTGGTCCTATATGTGACCATAGCGGCGACACAATTCGGCTGTATAACTTACACATCCTTGGGAGAGAGGACACTGGGGATACATGTAGTTGGCGCACAATGCATCTTTATCTAGTTTTAACATAATAAGTTTGATATAAGCAACTGAGCGCAGGGACAAAGTTTTATGTGTTACGATAATCTGCCTCATCTTTGAAAACTGTGTGTTAGCGATTTGTTCGCATCCGAATAAGTGATTGTAAGTTACAAAATTACGTTATTACATGAGAAATTCAATGTAAGCGAGTTATGCCGTAACAACCGGTATTATAAACGTATGAAGGCAAGTGGTCATCATATGTGACCTGTGTTGTTTTCTTTTGCCATCAGTATCAAAAAGAATATTGTAAAGCTGGTTTCAAGTTGTGTTTTCATTGCATACACATATATAAATATTCTTTGAATAAGGACATAGCTAACAGCTTATATTTTTCTTAGTACACTATATGCCTGAATTGCCGTTATAGTTGATTTTTTGCATTTTTTACAGTGTTTTACTACCCCTCTCTTTACCACAGCTCTTGTGCAAAAGTGGTTTGGGAGGATGTTATTTTAGTTGAGTAACCTGTAATACGTTAACTTGTCGTGCAGCGTTTCTGAAGTGATGTTGCCGTGAATGGAAAAAAACCGTCCCATGTAAAGTAAAAAAATGGGTGTAAGGTGTGAAGTGGCTATATATACAGTGCTCAGTGTGTAAATTTCGTTTAATTGAATCATCGGTTTGACCCAGTAACCGATGATCGGTTACAATCGGTTTATCGGGGTGTTGAATTGCCTGCGTGTGCGTAAAATCGGTGAATGATTACGGTATGTGTGCGATGTATGTGCTTGTTTAAGCATGGTAATAGAGTACCGAAGTGGTGACGTCACGTCGGCAAGACAACGTACGGCTAGCTGGTTCTACACAAGCACTGGCTCATAAGATGATAGCGTAGGCGGTGAAATGTTCGCTGGCGCTACGTAAGACCACGAGGTGTGTGCGCTGCAGGAACAGGGATAACGCATCGGTTAGGAAGTCGATTTACAATATTTGATGAATCAAAAAAAATATTAAAAGTAAAAAATTTTCTTTTTTTAATTTTCTTTTTTTTTTCTAATTGCTCATTTTTTTTCCCGCTCTGACTTATTTCACTTCCATCCTTTTGGAATCTATAAAAATCGGAATAAATGATCTCAGATGGATGGTCATCGAGCGTACAGACACACTCAACGATCCACTGCCACCACAACCCCCCCCTACCCCCGGACCTGAACGCAAGATTCACTTGCTTACCAGGCAATATGATTGGTGTTAGAACACGCAGCGCAGAGATCGTCTCGATCAGGATGCCACGTGACGGTGATCACTTTGCGACGGAGTCACTCTCTAAACCAGAATCCCTAGTGTTCTAGGCTTTAG